CACCTTACAATGATGTGAACCATGCACAGATTGGAGTGATACATGCATAGATTGCGCGGTACTTATAGTCCATAGCGGCCACCCGCATGCGTACTATAATTGTCAGCTCCTATAACCACCACTTGGGGTCTTTGTTGCTACGGCGATGGCTTGACACTTCGCTTTCGAGTCATTAATTGCCGCGATTTCGTTGTCCGTGGCGGATGTTTGATTGACACTTGCATGACAATTATGTTCGATCTCATCAGAGTTGTTGCTGGGCCCGGCCCTTCCCACGTTTTTAGACTACCACCATCTTTGTTGTAAACTTGGACATCCAGGAAGGTTAGCTGGTTGGCTCCCTCTTCCTCCACCTTGTATTGAATGTCCGAAAAACGGTGTTTAGACGCTTCTTAAGTGTCAGCAACTGATCCTGCTCAATTACGACGAAGATGTCGTCCACATATCGAGCCCACAATTTCGGTCTGAGATGTAAGTTAAGCAGTGACCCCGACCGTTGCAAGATCATCTCTTCTATGAGTTCGGAAACTGGCGAACGTATGGGTGTGCCCTTTAACTGTTTGTAGATGGTTCCGTTCACGGAAAGTGCTCTTTGAGAAAGAACTTTAGGAGACGGAAGATTTGGGCGTGCCCAAGGTGATTCTCCATTTCATCGTATTTGTCTCGTAGGCGTAATTGGGTGGTCTCGACTGCCAGGTCCCGTGGAATAGACGTTGAAATGGGTGTGACATAAAATTATGCTGTGACATCGGTTGGCAGGAAGTTCACCACTTAAATTTGCTCGAAATATTAAGTCGACGAGCTGACTGTTGTGTCTGAATCAGCGATCAAGAGTTTGAGTCGTCGAAACAGCCACTTTTCTAGTCCGTGGGTTGCAGTCCCTTTGAGATGTACTATTGGAGGGAGGGGTGCGCCCTATTTGTGCACCTCGGGTAGACCGAAGAAGTGGGTCACGACCATTTTTTCCATCCCGCCAGGCGTCGGGCGATTGATGATGTTGCATCTGCGTTCTCCATTGTCAGCAGCGTTTTGTTGATCTCGCATGCCAGCGTTTTTGTGGGGTCGGATTTGCATGGGATGTAGGACTGACGATTCTTTGACAAAGTTTGAAGCCACTTCGTCTAGAAGGCACCACGCAGCAGGCCTATAGTCTGAACGAAGAATTGTTGCCGTCCCTATCTGGTGTGCTGAAGGTGTAGTTATATGTATTTTGACAACCAAATGCCACTGAAGCGAGGGAGGAACGGCTCCAGACAGTTTGCCGATGTTCAGGTTGACCTCCATGCAACCTTCCGCGCGGAAGTTTGCGCCGATGTTCACCCGCCTATACCTACGGACTCGGACCATTCGTATTAGCTCTGTTCTGCCATATCATTGTCCAGCTGGATGGAAGCGTAGACTCCCAAAAAAGGCACCCGTGCGGACTTCGGAGTGGTCAAATACTCGCAAAATCTAACTCAGACGGCAGCTCTGAAAAACATTCCATGTTTCTTATGAGAAAGTAGAGATCCCAGCGCCCAATCAAATTACCCATCATGAATTAATATCTGGAGGGCAAATTTTGACTTCCGGATTCCATCTGGGTGTGCGTCACATTTTGCGGATGATCGATTCTAACCAATGCGGTATAGTACTAGTTTGAGTCGCAGAAATTGTTTAAATAATCTAAACGGGTTTCAATCCAAATATACACTTAAAATTACGGTCTACGCCTATAGACTTTAAATACACTGATATATACCGCGAACAGAAATTAATTTCTCAGGAGATTAAAATGATGAACTTTTAAAACCGATATATTAACGAGAAAGCAGACAAGGAAAGCTGGAGGCCCAGTGATGAGACGCACCACTCGTAGCTGTGTCAAGAAGCGGCAGATTACCGGTGTAACACGTGTCCGGGCCTTTTGGCTGGTACTTAGGCTGTCAGTATGGTAAGTTAAAACATAAAATAATCTAATGTTTTTATAAAACAATAGTGCGCCATATATAAAAACAGAAATTTGCTTACATTTCTTACTTTCCTATAGTTAACCGAATGTGACAAATATGCACATTTTTTCTTTACTTATGCTCAATAGTTTTTTGGGCTTTTTGAAATTCCTGAGAAAAAATAGTGGTTAGAATGTCGTCTTCTTCGACTTACCCTAGGTCCAACTTACCGCTGTAGAGTTAGTTTTGTACAGTTCGCTGCGCGAAGCGTCGCGCCACGCACAACTTAAATTTACATCCGGTGAAATTTTGCGGTCGTTTTTTATTTGGTTTATTTTACTTGTTTATATTTAAATTAAGTTTTTAAGTTTATGGTTCCGTTTATTATTTTTATTGAAGTTTTACATTATTTTTAGCCGCTTGAGGTAGCTTGCTTTGGTATACGCGCTTTTATAGTAAGTTGACTTTAGTTTAAGTTAGTTATTTTTTGGTTTATTTAGTTCCCAAAGTTTGCATTAAGGCATTTTAGTTAGGGCGTGCTTTTTGTAGATAAATATATGATTTTTTAAAATAATTATTCCTGTTTTTCTGTTTTAAAAAATAGTTTGATTTATATTTCCTTTTTTGTATTGCCCAGACTGTACAGTGGTTTATTACACTCAGTCAGCTTTCGCGTGTTGATTTGGGGCTCAACTGCTTTCCTACCAACACTGGTAGTTCGACAAAGGTGCTGAATACTTTTATACTCCTTTCATGGGAAATGAGTTTTTACCCTGTGGTATTTCGTTTTACTCTTACCGGAAATGCACATCTTGTGAGCTTTTTATTCCACTTGAAAGAGACCTCAATCGGTATGCTGAAACTGCGTCCATCTTCGGAAGTAAAAGTACGTTTGACTGACGTTTCAACTGCTGGCCGTAGCATTTTTGCTTGGGGCTTATCGACTTGGGTTTGTTCAATTATTGGAGGAGGGGACGATTTCCATATGCCTGTCCGCAAAATGTGGTGAGAGGACCCTCTTGCTTATGCCCTGAATTCCCACCTAGTCGTTTAAGATGAAAGTCGATCGATTCGTCTCTAATTGATGTCATAAATCTGGATAGGCCAGTCGGGATTTCACACGAGAATTAATTAAGCCGAGCTCTCACTGGTCCCAGTTCTGCCGCTTATTAGCCATGAGCACCTGTAGTTGCCTTCAGCTACAGAAGTGGGTTACATTATTTGGGTAACATAACACTGAAGTTGCCAGAGACAAGCAGTTTGTCCGGCTTCGGTACAGATAACAGGAGGACGTGCAATCCCCGTATGCTTTCTTTTTCGCCACATTAGAGCTCGTCAGTGAGGACGTGGACTCTGATGATGGCGGTGCATACGGGTCCTCGAAGATGCAGACACAGTGTCATCAGCTGGTCTTGCGAACACTAGGGCAGTCGTCCCACGATGTCGTTCATAGTAGAAAAAGTAACTCCAATGTCGCGTCGCTCTGCATTTTTGGGTGGCCGCTTCCGAAGAAGGTGTTGTCCATGCCCACCTCCTCCTGTCTGAATAATCGGGCCTGCTGGGACCAGCGATGCTCAGTTCTTAGTGCGTCATTTCTCGAGCTTCTAAGGTTGCTCTATTTTCCAACTGGTTGCACCTCAGATTAGCTAAAAGGGAATAATCATTCCAGGCTGCGAATACATGCGGACTCACGCTCCGGTTCTGAGAGACAACCTGAACCAGGTCTCAGTATTGTTGTTGACAAATGGTCTTCAACTGAACGATCAGAAGTCATTTGGACGAGGCGAAGATCACGAGTTGAGCAAACTTTATTGACGTCATAAAATTTCCTGACTTCTCAATCAGCTGGAGACGGTCGTTGGCTATTAATAAGAGAAGTAACTGTCCAATTAAGTGTCAGTCTCGAAGAGTGAAACTCGTGATCTTCGCCTTGTTCAAATTTATTTCGGGAAAGCAATGTTTCAAACAGAAGTCAGTCCAGTGTGTTACGATTGCGATCTCTTCCCAGCGCTTAATCCTTACACTTTCCGTCCGACGAGGTATACTCCTTCCGGTACCTTGGTGTTACTCTGGTATGTAATCTTTCGTTTACCCTACATTTCGGAAACTTTACTCTAAAACTTGTAACACCTTTATCATATCTGTTGTATTTTTCCCGTCACATGTTTGAATTCTGTCCCTCTTACTCTATAGATCTCTGATTATCTTTCCAGTCTGTCTTACAAAACCTGTTGTTTTTAAACATAGCACACGAATGCTCCCTTCAGCTACCGGTGAGTCTTGTGTTTTTTTTGTATTTGACCGTATAATACATCGACGTCTAACAACGGTCAAGCAATTCACTGACTGAATTCTTGATGATGTACAGACTTTAATGATGTTTTTGACTCCCTCCGCTCAGGCTTAGTGGCTGTGAAGTCTTCACGTCACATACGCCGAGCCTTCCAGAATATGTTTTGCCATACATTGGCATATATCAGTGCTTTGAATTGCCATTTCTATCACGATAGCTCAGAGACCGAAGTACAGACACTGAACTATCTTCATGAGAAGTGGGCAGTTTATGTAAACCTTTAGGTTCTTACGTATTTTGTCAACTTGTCTTGTTCTCTCAGTAAATGGCAACATATTTTGCTGAAAATGGGGGTGCTACCTTCAAAGCAAAGCGTATACCTCTGTCTCTCTGTGTCTGTCTCAGAAAGTGTGACTCCGTTTTCTGCAAGCAAATTTTATTTATCTGACCCCAATTTGAAGCAGTCGGCCACTCCATTGGTGTGGCGTGGCTTTTAGACTGTGCACGGTGTCCCTTAAACAGCCCGGTAATATATTTTAACAGTCCGAGCGCACTGTGGGTCCCTGACCGCGTGGATTTCTCCTAGTTAGGCAGGAACTCAGCTGATCGTCTGTAGTCATTATCTCCTGAATTCAGTAGAAGTCTTGTCATCAGTCATCCGACAGCTTCGAAAGCTAGTATAGTATATAGCATCCAAATGTTTATTAAGGATAAAGACAACGGCCTCCGAATGGATAACAATTATACATCGGCTTTAGCACAATAGTCTGGAGGAAATTGGAGATTATCATCGGGGGGAGGAAATACTCCGCGGGACACTGGTACGAGGGGAAACTATTATGCACAACTCTCTACAGGGAAGGGTAGGGCTGGAGACCGCCACCAGTAAGGGAACAACCAGTACAGTAAGCACCAGAATTCGTGCAACATGCCGACATATGCGAAAGATTGACACTCTCTCGTTAATCGGCATTGACTCAGGTTGTGATAGTGATTATCGTGTAGTCTATTCTGAAGTTATTTTAGTCAGGACAGGATGCCGGAATGTAACGAACTTATTTCTGACCGCTAGCAGAACGTATATGCACTATAGAGTAACTACTTAAATAGTATGCGTTCTTTATCATTGATTTTTACTACCTTTATAAATTCAAATATATTATTATGGAAAATGTAAAAGACAAAATCACTTCTTGTACTCGTTCGGCAGGAACTTATGCCTTCTATAAATTTTACACTGAAAAAATTTCTCATTATGAGCTTTTTTGAGATCGTGAAGTGTTCATCCGTAACACATCGTAGCCGTTAATTTATCAATGCTGCCTATACTCTATAAAGCATTTTCCACACCCATTGCAAAACTTTCTGACAACTATGTGACTTCTTCCCCAAACTGCAGGCGAAAACTTATTTTTCCTTAAACAGGATGTACATGATGCGCAGTTTGTAAGCCTTGAATTCGAGTGAAGCAGTCAGAAGGCTTCAAATAGTTCGGCAATTTATAGGCTTTTTAACCGAAAGATACCTTTTCTTTAAGTTTAAAATTAAACAAAGGCGCAATTTGCTGCCAACCGATTACAATAAATATTTTTGTCGTGTAAGTTTTCCGTAGAATATATTCAAATTTATGAAGGCAGTCATAGTCAATGATAAATACGCATACTATTTAAGTAGTTTATTTTTGAGAGTACATACGTTTTCTAGCTCGAAAGCTCTCAAATTACTTAAGAATAGACTACATGATAATCAGTATCACATCCTGAGTCAATGCCGATTAGCGAAAGAGCACCAATCTTTCGCATATGTCAGCATGTTGCACGAATTCTGGAGCATACTGTATACACCCTATCTGCAAGTGCACACCATCTACAACATCCTTTACCAGACTCGAAGTGCCCGCGTTGACCAATTCAAAAGACGCCCACGTCCCCTCCTTCGTTCTCCAAGACTCGTTGTCCCATAGTCGTGGCGTCAGCAACAACTCTTACAGTGCTTTCTTTCACTGGCGCCCCCGTCCCACGAGGCTTGACCTCGCAGCTGCTTCTGGTTTACCGAATACA